TGTCACCTTGAATAAACCATTGTTTTATTTCTTTCAAAGTGCTTAAGCGTGGATCTTTAAGAGAAGAAATGCATATTCGACTATGCATAATGTCCCGATACATACATGCATAGCAAATAAATAACTAATGATAATATAAAGATATGAGAACCATTATTATAGCTTAAAGCAAAGAATATATATATATATAGTTTAACTTTGAAATATTTACTTGAGTGCCTTGAGAAATGTAATTTAACTCTGGAATATTTGCCATCGCTTTTTCAACATCAAGTGATAATGTATGCTCCACAAGGTTTACTCTCATTTTGCTCCAAGTAGTAAGCCAAATATGTCGCTTTGTCAACTTGGTAGCTTTTGCAGTCATATGTTTTGTTGTATGATTGTATATACCACGGAAATGCCACCAACTAATTTTCCACCTATTAAATATTATTTCTCTTATATTCTTGTTCTCATCATTGCTAATATGACTTTTAGAAACATTATTTCTTAACTTCTTGAAGACATGGGTTGAATCATTTAAAAAAAACCATGGTTTGCCGGTTACAGGATTAATTGTACGATGCGATGCCCAATGTTCATTTTTATTATATACAGGGTGAATATCACAATATAGTGATTTCCATATAAAAAATTCAAATTTTCTATTACTCTCAATTATAACTTCGATGTCCAGATAATTATCCATTGAGATTTCAGTAAGTACTTTACCAAGATACCATCCATTGTCAATTGTACTTCGGACTTCACATTGATCATTAATTTTCCAAATAATTTTGCCTGGCATTGGGAGTCGTAAAGACGAATGTGAAACATTATGATAAGCTTGTGTAGAGCCTGAAAGTTGAATTAAAAATTTGGTACGTTCTGAGTTATTTTAGCTAGTTGATAACTCTTTTTTCCTAGTTTATTCAACAACTGAACTTCAACTTTGTCATTCGCTTTCCAAATTGTTGCAAACCAATCGAAGCTCTTGATATGCCTCCTATTTTCATCTGCACTATTGCAAATAGAACCATATGTATGAATTGCCGCACATTCAAGCTTTGCGGCTAAGTGGAAAAGTGTCATATTAAAAGTATAGACATTTATCGTTTCAACACCAAAATAAGCTATTGGAAAGTTAAATGGATGTGATATTGAATGCCATACAATTTGATGCACTTGAGTTGCTAAAGTCCGTTCATACTCCTTTTTATCATTGTTATTACGCTTATTATAATCGCTCATATACTCTGAACCCTAAACATCGTGGAGACACTGCTCGCCAAATGCTTCAAACTCAACATTTTCATCATCAAAGTCAATATAACTGACATATTTATTGTCATGTTGGCTCCATAAAAGTCCTATAATATCATTGATGATAATTATAATATAGCTTATAAATAATTTCTTACAATCAATTTTAATGTTCTAACCTTTTTGAATTTTAAATGAATCATGTGAGAAAAAGCCAATGCGTGCATAGCCCCACATGCTATTCGCTTCCATACTAGCCACCATTCGCTTTATCACTTTGTCTTGCCAACCTGTATGTTGATCAGCTTCACTAATATAGTTTTTGAGTGTTGACAGTGACAGCATTCAAATAACTGACTTTATCGCTTTGTACGCAGCAGGGCTTCTACTGTAAATTGAAATTGCCCACCGAATAAACCTGCAGTAATATAATTAGTTAACTTTTTTTTTTTTTTTTACCAAGAATATTGTTCTTTTTTATTTACATAGGATAATACCGTATCCCTTTTGGCTTTTTACTTTGCACATGAACTAACTCCTTTAAAATGATATTTGATATGTTTTCATGTTTTTCGTCCAAAACTTCATCAACTATATTGTGAACAATGCTAGTTAATGGTTCTGATGCTTGTTCTTCTTCAGCTTCAAATTTTGTCTTTAGACGATCACGAAGATCTTCAATTAACTCCTTTTGTGATTGAATGGTTTAAAGTTAAATTTTTATTTAATAAATACGATTTATTGAATTAAAACTAACTTAAACTAACTTAAAATTAATTTAGCATAAATACCTTTCGTGCTTTCTGAACAATTTCAACTAGAATTTCTTTAAAGGCATGTGATGTTTTAACAGATTGGATGCCATTTTTGTGTCGTTTTTCAATTTGGTACAGTGTGTTATGCAATGTTTTGCAATTTGCGCATGTGTCATTATCCAAGACAAGAAGAGTACAGTCAACCTTGCGGTAAGCTTCATTTTCAAGTCCTTTGTTTTCCAAATTTGCAATTATTTCATGATCATTTTGCGGTCCTAAGAAATTTGAGTACAGATGGTCACCCGCAAGTAAGCTGCTTGCTTAAACTCTAAATACATTTTAAGTATCATTATTAAAAAGAATTTTATTGTTCAAAAAATACAACATCATATTTACCTCTGGTATACTGCCCTATACAAACGTGTGATATTTTAAAAAATCGAACAATTGAAAGAATTTCATTGATTATTGAGACTTTATAACTAATGCTATTTGCTTCTAAAATATCATCTCTTACTTTCAAACCACTAACAAAAATGGAGCACTTAAAAGGTTCCCGACTCCCATTAAATGCTTTTCTGATATAAAGTTCCTTCTTTATATTTGTGCTTAATAAAACAAAGCACAAAAATCCTTTGCCTTCTGTTAAAGTTACACCCATCAAATCTATATCATTATATAACATTGTTGTTAAAATATTTTTGATAGAAAACAATGTGATGGATTCAGTATTTTTGAAATAAAGTATGTAATTTTGCCCTTTTATTATCTGCCCAATACTTGGTTTATCGCAATTGGGCTTTAAAAACACAGTAGCTAATGCTGATTTTTTGCTTTTAAAAAACCGTTTGTTATTAAGTGCCGTTATCCAAGCCAAAAAAGATGGAAATCGGTTTTGTGTAATTAAATCATATACATATGCACGTTTTTCTGATTTTTTATATAAAATGCGACCCTTAGCAGACTTTTTAAGCATAGAAAAAAACCAAACACTTTGGCCATTGATATCAGGACGAAGCCAATAAAGTTGTTGTAATGCTTCATCTTCCGAATCTTTTTTATATTTTGTCCATTTTGTCGTTGGCTCATTTATTATTTTTTCAGTTAAAATTTTATTTCTCTAAAATGGAGGTACAAAAATTAATCAATTGCATTTGCGTGTAATTATGCATCAAGGTAAAGAAATAAATTTTCTAAGTATGAAATTCTTATGAACTTAAATAATGCATATGAATTCTTATTAGTTTAATAACAATAACCCAGCATGATTTATTCCTGGAAAATTAATATTTAATATATCCTTATAATAAATGGATGCTTTATATTCATTCCATTCGAACTCCAATTCCATATTAATGGACGCTTTATATTTATCCATTCAAATTCCAATTCCACGCTTTATATTCATCCATTCGAACTCCAATTCCATATTAATTAACAAATTTTAAGATTATTTATTTCTAAAACACACTTAATTCTTATAGATTTTTGACAATTAATCAATATCTAATGTTCGTCTATTTTAATTTCAAGTCGGCTTATATTAGGTACACATTATTTCAAAAGTTTTTCAGTTAAAACCTGATCTGATGACTTTGATGAGCTCGTGTACTGGGTACCTCTGCCTGAGATGTTTGCATTATCCTTCTTCTGCTTTCCAAGCTGACTCTTACATTACTTATGGGCCTTAGATATATTAATATCTTACCTTTATGTCCCCCATTTTTTCTATATAAGTATATGATTCGATTTTTAATATAAAAAAAAAACAGTTATAAAATTTTTAAATATTTAGTCGGTTACTTACATATATTTCAAGTTTCGAAAAAAAAACCTTATTCAAAAAAAAAAATTTTATTACTTAAACTTTGATTGTTGAAGCAATATATATGAAAATCGTATGATTTACATATTAATAACAGATTTTGTGCTACTAATTAACTTGTGTAACCATTGAGTTGTCTCCCCCGTAGTTTTACTAACCCCTAGGTACTACTACCCAGAGCTAAGTACAGACTGAATATGGTTATGCTATCTAAAGAAGAGTGTGACAAACTTCATCAACCAATTATAAGGATAGCAAAGTGAAAAGCAAAAATGGCCTCAACTGCCTCCAACATAATTCTGATACAAAAAGATATTTAGAGAATTAACTCCTTATAGCAATGGTATACAGAGCACATGATTTTCAAATGGATAGTTACGTTGGAGACCTTATCAAAATAAGACTTAAAGATGTATAACTCTTATTCCGATCGATGGTGCCTATTTGGCTCTTGGATACCAATGATATTAACAAGCTGAAGTGGAACAACAATCTTAACATAGGCATATTAGCTGTAGCAAAAGAGATGGGAGTCAATATCAAAAATACAGAATGAAAACTCTTTCTGGTACATCACCGGAAAATTCGTTCCAAACAAAATTTTGACAAAAAACTCCCCCCTTTTCTCAAACAAACTTAAAAGA